ATCTTGTGATTTGTCCTCCATTGTTGATTGTATAGTGCCATGCCAGAAGTCCTCAGTACTGTTCATCGACTCACTATTGACCTGCAATTGTCAATTCTCAAAGGAAAGACTCTTCATGTTAGCATATTCCAAGGTTACTCATTAACAGTATTGGTTTTTTGTTTTTAAGTGACATCCAGTCAGTTCCTGTATAGGGTTTCCAAGGAGTAGCTGGTGCATTTGTACCACCGATCTCGTGGTTCAAACTGACCTTGTGGTCCCGTGCTTATCCTACAGTGTCATACCAAGATAAATCTGAGCAAGTAAATTGGTGTCATGTGTTATTTATTTAGTACTTTTATAGAAATCATAAAAATAGAATATTCTTACCAGTTTCCCTTTGGATTTATAAACTGCTGCACAGCATAACCAAACTGTTCACTTGATGGACCAGAAAATATTTTTGCTTCTGGGAGACCAACATTGTATGCCACACAACAATTTAAAATTCCTGTTAAGAAAAATGAAAACATAGTCCATATTTACAACTTGTAAATATTAACTTTGCAATACAATTCTCAAGACCACTATAAATAGGAACAAATATTTGGCACAATAATTATACTCCTTATGAATGTTGACCAAAAACTAATGGCTACTATTTTTTAAACACTAATTTTGGGCCCTGGCATCATGGTAAGTACTTCATAGGCATGATTCGCTGTCTCATTAATTCTCATAGCAACCCAAGAAGATGGTTACTAATATTGCCTCGGTTTTGTAAAGAAGCTTTCTGAGGCTCAAGGAGGGAAGCATATCTCACAGCTGGAAAGTGGTAGGGTGAAAATTTAAACAGGGCTTTTTGATCCAAGAATCTAATTTCTTAAATCACTACATTGACTCTAAGTATGCTTAAGTAATTTGAATACCATTTTTCCTTCCTAATGCAGTAAGGTTCTATACCACCCAAAGGTAGTCTGAAGAGTATCTTTTAGTTCTTCTAACTCCCCCTGAAGATCTTGACTTGAGCTCTGTATGAAACGTCTCTTGAAAACGTATTACTGATTCATCACTGGAGCTGCAAAATCCTTGGGTATTGTACCATTTTCTTCCAGAGAGAATCACTCTTGAGGTGATTTTTATGTAAGGAGAGGTATTAAATCTGTTTCCAGTGGAAACTGTCAAAAGGTAGTTTTATTTTTTGATGCTTCTTTCAGAGTTATTAAAAAATAGTAACCATATGAAAAAATTCAACTAAAGACAAATGAAGATAAAGCCTTAGTAGACAGTTTTGAAAAACGTTGTTTCTGATGGAAGAGGAAATAGAGAAAAGAGTAAGCTGATTAAGTTTCCCTTCCCTGACACTAATAGCATTCTATGGTAAGAAGATTATGTGAATGTTAATGCTTTCCATTGACATGGTGGGAGCACTGTGGCTCTATAGGCTAAGCAATGAACTGAGAGCCACAAGCTCAGTAGTTTGAACTTCAACTAGACCAATAAATAACATCCTTATAAATGGAGGAAGATTGAAGTTGCAAAAGACTTCGTTTTGCTTGGATCAACTGTCAACACTCATGGAAACAGTAGTCAAGAAATCAAATGATTAGATTAGACAAATCTGCTGCATAAGATCTCTTTAAAGTGTTCAAGAACAAAGATGTCAGTTTGAGGATTATGGTGTGCCTAATCCAAACCATGGTGTTTTCAGTACCCTCATATGCATGTGTAAATTGAACAATGAATATGGAAGACCATAGAAGAATTGATGCATTTGAATTATGGTGTTAGAGGAGAATATTAAAAGTACCATGGGCTGCCAGAAGGACAAACAAATCTGTGTTGGAAGAAGTACAGCCGGAATGTTCCTTAGAAGCGTGGATGGCCAGATATGGTCTCTCATACTTCAGACATATTATCAGGAGGGACTAGTTCTTGGAGAATGACATCATGGTTGGCAAAATGGAAGGTCAGTGAAAACAAGGAAGACTCCCAACACAATGGGTTGGCACAGTGGGCTCAAGTGTAGCAACGACTATGGGACTGGCAGAGGACTAGGCAGTATTTCATTCTCTTATGCACAGGGTCAGTACTGACTCGAAGGCACCTAACAACAACAATCATTTACAGCCTCTGAAACCCTATACAGGATCACTATGGATGGGAACCCACTAGACAACACTTAAAAACAACAACAATTGATAAGGTAATGTTCAGGGTGTTTGAGAAGAATATTTATCTTTGCAGACACTGAAGCCAGAGTAGACAACTTTTAAAATCAACATTAAAGTTTCAATAATAAATCTTTTCACAAAGAATATCCAACTTTCTGCACAGCATCGAAAGTGCACAATATTTCATAAAGCTATTGTTATAGGTACTGCAAGCCTGGAAGAAAACGGCTTGCTTTACCATCATGCTTTCGTATTTCTGGGAGCAGATTCTGTAAAAGGCTCCAAAATAATAATGACGTCAACAGAGCTTTGGGGAATTCAAGAAGTTAACATGCCTCTCTTAGGTACCAAATTCATTCTCTATAAGGGGTTTGTTCACTCAGAAGAGCTCAGCTCTTTATTTCTTGGAAAATGTACTGCCAGGAAGAAAGATACAAATGTTAATTTTGAAATTATTTGTAGAAAAATCGATAAAGTCCAGCATTTACAAAATGTTCTTTAACTTCTGGTTTTCATAGACACTCTCCTTTTTTATTTTTAGACAATAACATACAAAAAAAAAAAATCACATAGCAAATTAAGCAGAGATCAGGAATTAGCATTTAGATTATTGTTGTTTGTAATCAGTGTTTCATCTCCACCTTCCCCCCCACCTGCCTCCGCCACCCCCATATAGACCTCAATGGATGCTGTTTGAATATGCTATCAATAATATAACATAATAGTAAGAACTTGGGGAGATGATGTCAGACTGCTTCCACCTTTAAGATATTTAATGCTGAAAAGAACACATCTGACTGTACATTCAATCGTCTCATATTTCCTCCATTAATCCTATTCCATGGAACACCACCAATTAAGCCTCGCCAGATAGTGTTATGGCATGAAATCATGGTGGAATTCACTTTCTCATCTCGAAATTTTATTATACATGCTATGTTATTGTTAAGTGTGGTTGAGTCAGTTCTAATTTATTGAGACCCTGTATAGGGTTTTGAAGGAGCAGCTGGTGAGTTTGAACTGCCAACCTTGTGATTCCCAGACCAGTTCTGATCCTACAGCACCACACCAGAAGTCCTTTATTATAAATACATATGTATACATATTTCAGTGGAACTTCTGGTGCTTCACTAAAAGGAGCTCTGGTAGCGTACTAGTTACAAATTAGGCTGCTAACCTCAAGGTTGGCAGTTCAAAACTACCAGCGGTTCCACAGGAGAAAAATGAGGCTTTTGCTGCCGTAAAGATTTACAGCCTCGGAAACCCTATGCAGGATCTCTATGCGTCGGAATCGACTCCACAGTACTTAACAACAACATGTATATATGGAGTCCAGGTATGGAGTTGTAGGATAAGCACTGGACTGCTAACCGCAAGGCTGGTGGTTCAAACCCACCAGCAACTCCTCAGAAATCCTATACATGTCCACTATGAGTTGTGACCAACTCCACAGGACTTAAGAGAAACAACAGCAATCATTATATATAGAATCATTTCATACTTGTTGTCCAGTGCCATAGAGTTGCTTCCAACTGATAGCGAACCTGTATAGGATACAAAAGAGAAACTGGGGGTTTGAAATGATGACTATGTGGTTAGTAGACCAGTGCTTATACTACAGCACCACACCAACTAGTATGTGATACTTAATGAGGTCTGTCAGTTTGTAGTACTGTAGTGGCTTATGTGTTGCTGGGATACTGGCAGCTATGCCACCAGTACTTCAGATACCAGCAGGGTCACCTATATTTCAGGGGAGCATCCACACTAAGACAGGGAAGAAGGATCTGGTGCTTTACTAAAAAACTTGGCTAGCAGAAACCTTATGGATAGCAGTGGAATACTGCTGGATATAGTGCCAGAAGTTGGCCACCTCAGCTTGGAAGGCCCTCAAAATACAACTGGAAAAGAGCTGCCACCTCAAACTAGAGTTGACTTTAATGACATGAATGGAGCTAAGCTTCCAGGACCTTCATTTGTTGATGGGACATGACTCAAAATAAGAAACACCTGCTAACATCCAGTTTACATGGAATGTAGCAAGTATGAGTCTTGGAAAATTGAAAGTGGTCAAAGACGAACTGGAACATATAAAAAGCAATAACCGAGAATTAATGAGCTGAAATGGACTAGTACTGGTTGCTTTGAATTGGACAATCATATGGTTTATTATGACAGCAATGACAAATTGAAGACAAATGGTTTCACATTCACTGTCAAAATTTTCTATTCTAAAATACATCATTGTTATTAATAGGATAATATCCATATGTCTATAAAAATATCAGTGAATATTTCAAATTTTCTTACCAACCATTAATGTCAAAGATGAAGAAAGGGAAGATTTTTACCAACTTCTGCAGTCTGAAATTGATCAAGAATGTAATCAAGATGCAAAGTTAATTACTAGTAGTTAGAATGAGAAAGTTGAGAACAATAAATAAGGACTGGGAGCTAGGAAATAGAGCCTTAGAGAAAGAAATGATCTTGGAGAAAGTACGATAACATTTTGCAAGACAAACAACTTTTTCACTAGAAATACATTTTTCATCAATATAAATGGTAGCTACACATGTGAACCTACCACTCGTTTGTCAGTTTGTCGTACTGTGGAGGCTTGAGTGATGTAGTGATGCTGGAAGCTATGCCACCGGTATTTTAAATACCAGCAGGGTCACCATGAGTGACAGATTTCAGCTGAGCTTCCAAAATAAGACAGACTAGTAAGCAGTAAAGGTGGAATACTTCTGAATGTTTAGTCACTGAAAACCTTATGAATAGCAGGAAAAAAAATGTCTTATCTATCAGTCTTCTTATTATGAGTTGGTATTGACTCAATGACACCTAACAACAACAACAATTAGTTGGGATACATGCAACAGCAGTGGGTTTGGGGTTTTTTTATATACAGCTCGGGCCCAAAGTTATATGGATGCCATGTCTAAGTTTGAAGGCTTCAAAAGTAGATGAAAGTTGATATAGGTCTTAAAGGGGAAATGTGAATTTACTTCATGAAGAGAAAGGTTAAATTCACTAAAGTCACAAGGAACACCATGTTCACTATAAACCAAGGTGAGAAAGAGAAGAGTATAGAAAGGGTGGGTTCTTGACCATCTCTGAAAGGGGTCTTTGGCAACTATACTAATTTCAGAAACTATGGAGTTTATTCTACCACTTTACTTGATAGGGATCCCTGGGTATTGCAAACTTTAATGCACTTGCCTGCTAACCAAAAGACTGGAGGTTGGAACTGACCTAGAGGTGTCCCTGAAGACATGTCTGGCAATTGCATTGAGAAAAAGAAGTTAAAAACCCTATAAAGCACAGTTTTACTCTA